GTTGGGATAGCTCCATCCAGATCATTAATTTGAAGAAAAGCTCTTTTTGTATGGAGATTAATTATTGGGATAAGGTGAAGCAAGCAAGTTTTTGGGGTGTCTTTGTTTACATTAGTCCAGATCTGGCTCAAAGGAAATTACAGTGGGAATACTTGATCAATGCCAAACACAGATGGGGAGATAGTTGGTTCATAGGAGGGGATTGGAACGATTTGCTGGAGATTTCAGACAAACAAGGAGGTAGAAGAAGATCAGAATCATCCTTACAAGGGTTCAGAGAGTTTATTGCTCAGATGGGATTACTGGAACTCCGAATGTCAGGTCATGAATTTACTTGGGCCAACAGAAGAAGGGAAGAAGGTTTTGTGCAAGAGAAATTGGACAGAATTTTTGGTAATCTGAACTGGATGAATCAATTCCCCAATGCTGAGGTTGCTAACATTCATAGGAGCTCTTCAGATCATGGACTGCTTCTTCTCACTTTTCATCCATCAGTGAGAACTGTGAAGAAAAGGTTTTATTTTGACAAGCGATGGCTGGCTAAAGAAGGCTTAAAAGACACTATTGCTGCTGCATGGGAATCACCTCAGAATGGCACTCCAATGTTCAGCTTTCAAGAGAAAATCAAAACCACCAGAGTGGAAATTCTAAAATGGAGCAGAAAATTTAATTCTGAAGCCAAAGCCAAAAGAGAAGAGCTTAATCAACATTTGGCTGATCTAAATGCTCAAGGCAATGGTAGGAACTGGGATCTTTGGGACCAACTGAAGAAGCAGCTTGATGATGTCAATGAAAAGGAGGAGAACTTTTGGAAACAAAAGGCTAGGGTGAACTGGCTTAAACAGGGAGATAAAAACACCAGTTATTTTCATGCTTGCATCAAAGAAAGGAGGAAGCAGAACAATATTTACAAGCTTAAGAAGGAAGATAATAGTGTTTGTGACACTAAGGAAGAGATTGTGGGCTGCCTTGAGGATTACTACTCCAAACTTTTCACTTCTCAAGGGAATGTGCAAGGAGAAGAGCTGCTTAGAGACATCCCATCCAAAATCAATTCAGACCTTAATTCAGAACTCATTGCACCAGTCGAAGAAGAGGAAATCAAAGAAGCTGTTTTCAGTATAGACTCCAATTCAGCTCCAGGTTTAGATGGTATGACATCTTCCTTTTTTCAAGCTTTCTGGCCCATTATTAAATCTGATTTCTGTGCTCTCATTCAAAGTTTTTTTGCTTCTGGCCAACTTCTTAAAAGTATCAATCACTCTTTGATTACTTTACTGCCTAAATGCCACAATCCTGAATCTGTTTCTCAATATAGACCCATTAGCCTTTGCAGTGTCACTTATAAAACCATTGCTAAAATTTTGGCCAATAGATTGAAACCTTGTCTGCCATCCTGTATTAGTATGAATCAATCTGCTTTTGTGGCTGATAGACAGATTTTGGACAACGTTATTATTGCTAATGAAGCCATTCATTTTATTAACAGACATAGAAGTGGGGGTAATTGTTATATGGCTGTGAAATTAGATATGTCCAAAGCTTTTGACAGGGTAGAATGGGACAGTGTTAGGCAAATTTTGATCAAGCTGGGTTTTCATACTTCTTTTGTCAAGTGGGTCATGGCTTGTATCACTTCCTCTTCTTTTTCTTTCAATTTAAATGGGGAAGTTGCAGGGTATATCACTCCTTCCAGGGGCATTAGACAGGGGGACCCTTTGTCCCCCTACATTTTCATTCTTGTCTCTGAAGTTTTTGCTAATCTGCTGGTTAGAAATTCTAGATTGGGGCTTTTTCAGGGATTAAAAATCAGCAAAAATGGCCCTATTTTCACTCATTTATTTTTTGCGGATGACACTATTATTTTCTGCAAAGCTGATGATAACCATGCCCAGCAACTCATGCATATGCTATCCAAATTCCAGCAATTCACAGGTCAAACAGTCAATCTCCAAAAATCCACCATATTTTTCAGCAAAAATACAAAACCATCCTCCAAACACACCATCTGTCAGACCCTCCTGGGTATCTCTTCTCAAAATTCTTCTAGATACCTGGGTATGCCTTTAGGGGTGGGAAAATCTAAACTTGACACTTTTTCTTTTGTGGTGGACTGTGTGAAGAAAAGAGTTCAAAGTTGGAAGAACAATTTTTTGACAAGTGCAGGGAAAGAGATCTTGCTGAAAGCAGTGCTGGGAGCTTTACCAATCTATGTTATGTCTTGCTTTATGTTACCTAAATCCTTATGCAACACTCTTTCCCAGATATTTGCTTCATTCTGGTGGAAAACAGGTTCTAACTGCAAAGGCATTCATTGGAAGTCATGGAATCATCTGACATTTCCTAAGGATTTGGGGGGGCTGAACTTCAAGGACATTCATACACTCAACAAAGCATTGATTTCAAAACAACTTTGGAGATTGTATACCAAGCCAAACCTGCTAGTGAGCAAAATCTTGAAGGCCAAATACTATTCATCAGGCTCAATCCTCACAGCTCAACACTCACAAACAGGTTCTTGGCTCTGGAATAGTTGGATGGGGGCAAGAGCTGAACTGGTCTCAGGAATCAGGCATGAAGTCAAAGATGGAAAATCCACAAAAGCCTGGGAACACCCATGGATACCTGCTATTCCTGGATTTAAACCATCTACACTTTCAAAAAGCAGCTCTTCAATCATATGGGTGGCTGATTTACTTGATGAGACTGGCAGGAGATGGAACAAGAAGTTGATTGCAGACAACTTCAACACCAGAGATCAAGAAGCTATCCTGAGCATAAACAGCTTAGATCCTTCCACTAAAGACAGAATATGCTGGGACTGGAATCCTAATGGTAAATTTTCAGTGTCCTCAACATATCAGAAGCTAATCATGAACAAATGGAGTCAATTAGACCAACCTGAAAGTAGCCATGAGCAAACTAGGGCAATGAAGGTGAGAATAAGAAGTTGGGCTTTGAAAGTTAAAGGCAAATTGAAACACTTCATTTGGAAATGCTTCTCCAATCTTCTCCCTGTTTGTTGTAACCTTCAAAAAAAAAGGAATCTCCCTGGATCATATCTGCAAATCTTGTGGAGAAGCTCCAGAAACATTAGAGCATTTGTTTTTCCATTGCCCAAGAGCTAAACAGGTATGGAAATTATCCCCTCTGAATTGGGATGGGCTGGAGCAATGTACAGATAATTTTAAAGAATGATGGAGCAGGATTTGTAGCATTAAACATAGCCCTACTTCTGATGCAAGAATCCAGCTATCTGTCTACTTACTATGGGGCATTTGGACTTCAAGAAATCACTGGGTGTTTAAAAATGTTCTTAGGCCAGTGCAATTTGTGGTTTCTGCAGCTATTAAGGATTGGAATGAATATAATGTGAACTGTGTTAAATAATTTAAGGGTGCAACTAGGTTCTTTGAGGTTCAGTGGTTGTACCCTTGAATTATTTGAATTAGTTTAGTTTTGGGCTGTTTGTTTCAGTTAGGGTGGGGAATGGCTGTTGTTGTTCTATGTTTGATGTCTTTCTGTTGGTTTGGCTAGTAGCAGATGAGGGTCTCAGATGTTTATTCTGCCTCACTGCTTTGTTTGTATGGTTTTGTTTATTTAGGTCACCTCGTGTGCTCCTCTTATGGATTTCTGGTCTGTAATGGCTTCTTAGCCGCCGAGCATTGTACATTTTCAGTTATTTAATCTATCGTTTCGTTAAAAAAAAAAAAAAAATATTATCATTTATGTGATTTGAAAAAAGTTAAATCAAAATAGGACTTGATGTTGGTTTTCTTTTCACAAGTACGTGATTTACTGGCACCTCTTGATTTCCTTCTCTCTCCAATCAATAAACATGTAATTAATTGCCCAAGGAATTTGTCTCTCTCCATTTGTTTCTCTCTCCAATTAAAAAGCATGCATTTAATTCAATTAGGAATAAATATGTTTCTATCTCCAATTAAAAATCATGCATTTAATTCATTACGGCTAGAGAATCCGCAAGCAAAAAAATCGAAAAGAACAACAAATTTGAAACTTAAAATTAAGGGATTGGAAATTTAAAAAAAAAGCTCTTTGTGATATGTATATATGTCCAGATATAGTTTATATATACATTAGATAAACATGATATGACAGTTCTCTAATAATAACCGTATATATATACATAAGATAAACAACATATAAACAATACTAAAACGGGATAAAACATAATACACAATTCTAAATGACTTCAAAATCTAAATCGAATGTAGTTATACATAAGATAAACAACATATGTCTACTTTTCCAATTAAAAATCATGCATTTAATTTAATTACGGCTAGAGAATCCGCAAGCAAAAAAATTGAAAACAACAACAAATTTGAAGCTTAAAATTAAGAGATTGGAAAGCAAAAAAAAAAAAAAATGTTCTTTGTGATCTGTATATATGTTCAGATATACGTTATATATACATCAGATAAACATGATATGACAGTTCTCTAATAATAACCGTATATAGATAAGTTAAACAACATATAAACAACATTAAAACAAGATAAAACATAATACACATTTGACAGTTCTCTAATAATAACGGTATATATACATAAGATAAACAACATATAAACAACATTAAAACGGGATAAAAACATAATACATAATTCTAAATGACTTCAAAATCTAAATCGAATGTAGTTATACATAAGTTAAACAACATACGTCTACTTTACATGACATTTACAAAATTCAACCAACAACTTTGCTTACTCTAAAAAACAACATATTATAGATTATGTATAACTAACGTATAATTTGTGTATATGTTTACTACACTCCTTTGTGGCACAACGCATAAAATCGGAAAATACGCTTTCCTCTTCCGTCATATGGCATGCCCAATCGCTCTGCGGGCTTCACCTTCTTCAGAATATCAGTGTCAACAACAACACCGTCGTGGATAACAGCAGATTCACCCTTTCGATTTGTCGACGCCTCCGATTCCAGAAACAATCAGTGATCCCCTTCGGTGAGGATCACCAGGCAACGTTGTATCGCCTCAAGGTCGGGATTTCGAGGTTGACGACAATGACATGACCAAGGACTATACCATCGATAAACATAAAGCCGGATATCTGTAAATCCAAGCTTGAACCTTCCAAATCCCTAGCTTAACAAAACAAAAAGGGCTTCAGGCGAAAACAATTATCACCATAAACTTCCCCCATTTGAAAATCCTATTGTAAAAACCGTTAGTCACCTTAAAATCAACCAGTAACCATAACAATCAATCTCGAAAACCAAATTCAATCTCAAAAGCCAAATTCGAATTAAAAAATATCGAAAACCAAAAACAAAAAATAACTCAGAATTTAAAATCAAAAATTCAAATCTCTATAAATTCTAACAATAGAGATACAGAGATAGAGAGAGCGAATCGAAAATTACTTGGCTTCTTCGGCCGGCCGTCGACCGTCTTCACTGTTGACGGATTTAGCTTCGAATTTTCTTCGCTTGGCCATTGAAGTTTTCAGGCATAGAGTAGCTTTTTGTGTTAGGGAAGATGACTATTTTGGCTATTGCGTGTGGAAGGAAGGAGAATATCTCTTTCCAATATTCATTCAATGATATTACCACCATTAATGTGTGTAGTGGGTAGTTTAAAAGTTGCTTAAAATAAACCATTATCTTAATTAATTAAATATTTCGTAATTATGATAAAAATTTTACTCATTCATACTATTAATATTATTTAGCAAATGAAGAGTAAGTGGGGTAAATTTCTCTTTCAAAATGCACCACAACAAGTTGGGATAAAAGACATACCATATTTCAAAACACACAACATCCCATAGTTCAAGACACATAGCATCCCATAGTTCAAAACACACAACAAGGCTAAACGACATAACAACAACCCATACGTCAAAAGACACACCAGCATCCTATTGTTCAAAACACAAAGCAACAACCCATAGTTCAAACACACAACAAGGTTACATAACTATTATTAGAACCTTATTTCAATAATCATCTGAACCATTTTCACCCGCGCCTCATCATCAAGGCTAAAAAACATGTCCAGGTCTTCATTCTTGTTGCAAAGGTATTTGGTGGTTAGTAGTCTCTCCCCCATAGTAAGGTTGGGCATACCTTTTAACACATCGTACACCTTTCCACGTCTTTCGGTCGCATCGTGGGCATGACCGACCCTCACCACTATGTCCGATCTGTACTTTGCAGTCTCCTTGCAGAATGACGACAACGTCTCCACGAACTGATTGTCTTCCTCCACGACTTTTTTCTTTTTTCTAGACCTCTTCTCCCTGCCAGACACACTACACTCCCCAACATGCAAATTTGACTCTTCATGCGTATGTACTTCCGGTGGGGAAGTATTATTGTTGGTTTCTGATCTTCAAGGCGCATTTGGAGTAGTCGGGGACGAAGGCATGTTAAAAACACCGTTTACCGCATCCACAAATCCCATAGCGTTCTCACCAGTTGCCATGTCATTTCCGAATATGTCACACCAATCTGCATAAAATGGCCATAACTTGTACCTCATCGGTTTTGCGTTAGGGTCGATCTACGTTGGAAAAAATTATTCAGTGCATATCAATAACTAATATGTAACAAAGTGTTAAATAAGCATTATAAAAAACAAGTGATACAAAATCAGGACTCAAATGACTATCAAAGGAAGCTTAATAACTATGCTACAAACCACAAATTCAGGACTTTGTTCTAACTTTAGCTTCAGAGTACCTGATAATTTTTTTGCATCTTCAGAGAAATTGGCATGTACCTGTAAAGGGCCGGCATTCCACAACTAGGCAAACAATATTATTTTAGACCTAAATTTGTTTTCTCTTTATTCTTGTTTTTCAGATTTATTATGTTTGTTTATGCTAATTAATTTCAACTTTGTGCCTGCTTTTACATTTACAGAAATCTCCATAGACATAGTTTAACAAAGAAAAGAAAGATACAAAGACTAGCAAAGAAGGTATGCCTCATTTTTCTAGTTTATGAAAAAGAATTTCTGAACTATGTTTAAGAAAGAATTAAAAAATTACAGATTGGAAAAAAATAAATTGGCATAATTATAAGAAGAAAAAATTAAATTTCATTAATTTACAAATACGCACCTTTAAGTATTCCTTCCATACATCATCCCTCACGTCAAGCGCCCCACTTTCGGTTAAACTAAAACCAGACTTACCCATCATCCCGCACAAGGAACCGTAATTCTTCTTCTAGACTTTTATCTTAGAAGAAATATGTGGTTCGGCCTTGATGTCTTTGTTCGGAAACACTTGTTTCATGTGTTGCTCTAGTAACCCACCATATCCCGACTGAAATCCATTATCGCATCTCCAACCACGTGCAACAGTCTTTTAGCCCATTTACTAAGGTTGCTTCCTCCTCAAATGACCAAACCTTCCGACTACTTGAGCTAGAATCTCTATTGCCAATTCCACCTTCAGAATCCATACCTGTACGACCAAACACCATATTTTATACAAAAGAGCAAACATACATATCACATCATTTACAATGTTATTAAAGACAAACACACATAAAACAATAAAATGGTTCAACATAATACAAATGTTTCGAACAATTGTTGTCATCACAATGACACAAATAACATTAAACAGCCGTACAAACAAATAAAAATCAAGTTTATGCCACTTAATCTCCAGCCAACCATGAATTATACATCGATAATGCTAAGTTTTTCTCCCCAATTAGTCCACTCTTCAGTTGGTTGCACTACATCGACATGATGTACATTATCATCACCGCCGTCTTCACGGGGTCAGTAAAATCATAGTTGATGTATCCCTCTAACGGATCAACCGACATGAACGTGCGAATAAAGTTTTGGAGAAGGCAACAAGCGAGTATTATCCAGTTTTGAGTACGTATATTGTAGAAACTGGGACTCCTAAGAATGGCCCAACGCATTTTTAACACACCAAACGTCCTTTCTATGCCATTTCGGGCTTTCGCGTGCCTAAGGTTAAAAAGATCTCTATGATTAGATGGGGCACGAGCACCCGATCCATACTCATGTAGGTGGTATCGAACTCCTCTATATGGAGCTAAAAATCCTGGACCATTCGTGTAACTGGCGTCACATAGATAGTAATTACCTGAATGATATTATGACAAAAGAAACTACAATTAATATTACAACATTCTATTTAGTTTTATGATTACACTAAAAACTAAGAAGTAGATGAAACTAACCAATGGGGACACGCAAACCATTTGGCCTATTAACGGCATCTCTCAATACTCGACCATCAACAGCTGACCCCTCCCAACCCGTTAAAACGTAAGTAAAATTCATGTCTGGGTTACACACCCCAAGCATATTTATTGATATAAACATTTTACGGTTTCTGTAACGAGGGTGGAGTTGTGATGGGACACGAACAGGTATGTACGTTTCGTCTAGTGCACCTAGGCTTCCCTACATGATATGTATATTTAATGATATAAGAAAACTTAATAAGAATTAAAATACGTTTATAATAATAATGAAATACAATTACTATCACCTTAAACCATTTCCACCTTCGATCAGTACAACCTTCATCGATTGGAGTTGGTCGTACCAGTAGAAGTGGATGTAACCGAAGCACAACATCAAGCACATTGTTGAATACTTTGCTTATTGTTTGGCCCGACAGATTAAAATCAAATTTAATGACTCTATTTTTTTATGGTGTGCCAAAACGCTTAAGAAAATCGCTACTTGTTTACTTATTGGAACATTTCTAGTGGTCACAATACCACCCACATTTTCTAACAAAAAATATAACCGACCAAAGGCATCTCGATCCATGCAAAGTTGTTGGATGCAATTTGTGTCACTAATGTCTATAAGTTGAGTCAAATGACGAATTTGACTAATAATTCGGCCAGCCATGTGATACATAGGTGTAGAACTCTTACGACACATGGTACGTCGACGTCTACGGTCATGCACATATTTTTTATAGACATAGCAGAAGACCAAAACGATTCTTATTAGACATAGAATTAAATCGAGAACCATAACAGTTTCGAATTCTTCCGTGTCCATTTCCATCAATATCTGCCGCATACATCATTACAACGAGATGTAAATATAAAACAAATAACAACAAACAAAAGTTATAAAGTGGTCATGGTATGTTCAAGTAGATGCATGTATGTTCTATATTTTTTTTTACGAATACCCATCTTCAAGCAGCGTTATCGCAGTCGGAGCTGGTAAATATAAACAGAACAATGCATCAAACTATTTGCACAAATCAGATTCAATGTCCAACAAATAAAACAAGCCCCAAAGATAGATCATGATCCTCCACTAAACAGTCAAGTACAGTAAAAATCAAAGAACATATACTAAATTGTACACTATTACTGAAAGATCAAATGCACATAATACTATATAGTAGCAATTTTAAATCAATAATCTTCCAATTTTGAACTGCATAAAAGACAAAAGTAATCACTTTTCACATGCCCATCACTAATTATGATGTTTACTTTTTCATACATATTTTAAGAAATTAACCAATAATGTATAATGGGTTCTTTAGAATAAACATATATTGAAGATTAGCATTTTATACTGTGCATAAAAACAGTTCATAATTCATACCCTCCACATCATATAGCAGCAGAACAATATTATTCACGAATAAATGAACAACTAAAACTTGATATTCAAGCAGGCAACATCACAATTTTGATAATGACGAATGAAATAAACAAGAAATCAAAATCCAGTTGAAGTAAAATAAAAAATCGAATGAATAGAACAAATTTACTAGCAACACAGGTTGTATGTATGCATAAAGCATTTAATAATATTATAGGGAAGATTTAAGAAAGACCTGCACTCTGTAACGCCCCGTATTTTATTAATAAAGGAAAATACTAGCTTTCGAGTAAAAGCTAGCCTTTGTTAATGAATATTCATGTTAATGTTCAAGTCCATATTATTCAGCTAGTTAAATTTCAAGTTTGACATTAAGTCGAAAGTATCTGGTTAATTTTATTAGCCAAGCCAAATGATACAAATTATCTCATTCCGAAAAATTAATGTTTATGCCCGGAGTAATTTCTAAGTATTTAATTTTATATGATGTATATTAATCCATGATCAACCATATGCTAAGATTATTATCAAGCCTAATTATGCTTAAAGTAAGCTTAAAACGTCCAAATTGCCATGGCCATCATTATTTTATGTTTAAGACATGTCCATGACTACATATTCTATGTGATGACTAAGCTATGTATTTAAATGCCACGTAAAGTAGTGACTAAGTCTAAGAATTGCCACCAAAAAACTCATGGATCAAGCAAGTGTTACATGCCCATTGGTCATGGTTTTTACCTCAATATTCACTTCAATTATCCCATCATCTTCTATTCTATTTATACGAAGTGCTGGGTAAAAATTTGTATCTCGCAGTTAAGCTATATATATTTAATAAGAAGTTAGGAGAGAAACCGTGAGATTTAGAGAAATTCTTTAAGCACACACGCACGGAGGTTCGGTGATTGAGCAAGCAAGAGAGCTGGTGCAAACTATTGAGCAATTGAAGAGGTAATCACTTGTTGATCCTCTTTCTAAGTTAATATCATCATGTTCAGCTTGAGTCATGTAGCTTAGTTCGTAAATTGTTCATAATTGCTCTCGGGTGTGCAAACTATGCTATACCGAGCCATGTTCGATTTTATTCAGAAACACCCGAGCAACTTTCGTTCCTTTAGTCATTATTTGATTCATTATGTTCAGTTAAGTAAAGTTTGTTGAGGAAAAACATCGTTGTGCCGAGAGTTGGCCAAAGTCGTCGGGT